AAAGAATACTAATAAGGGTGACCTTTATCAGATATAAAGGTCCATGACCCTAGCAAAGGTTTGAAACCTGATCATTGACCAATGCAGGATGTCAACCGATTTCAGCGAACAGCCAAGAGCGGTTCTATTTTACTTTATGCGTATTGAATTTGGGATGACAAGAGTGCTTTGTAAAGTGATTCGCGCATGTTCAGTTTGCACCATTTATCTCTGAACATATTTGTACGGCAATTTCTCCAAGAATTTTAACGGATTTGAGTTTCAAATTAGTGTTGAAGTTTTTTAAGCCGTTTAAAACACTCGAGATCGTGTTTTAAACTATACATAAAAAACCGTCTAGTTTTCTATAACTCAAGTAGCTCAAGCCGAGTAAATCCGAATCTTCAATTTACTCTCCTGTCAAGTTGACTTTTCCCGTSACTTCTTTACTTCTTGATAATTTTCCCCAATATCACGTGTCATTGATAACCCTTCATATCAGCAATTGATTRTTATTGTTATTTACCAGGGACTGGTGGGGACGTGGACGAGGATTTTTCTGGCTTGATAACGTTGTTTGTCACGGTGATGAGTACAGCTTAGAGCGTTGCGCRCACAGCGACTGGGGCGTGCATCGCTGCAGCAATGATCGCTTGGCGGGCGTGATATGCAGAGATTACGAGGAGAATCGTGTCATTCAACCAAAACCAAGGAATGAAAGCAAAAAGGTWATTGTGTTGAACAATCATTTAGCYATTACTTTGTTTTAAATAATTGGACAAAAAATTAAAAAATTAGTGCTGTCATTTTTGTAGTATACATCAAACCCAAGTAAAGCAATAAAGTATATTTTRTATTTCTTATCAATCTCGTACCCCGAGACCAGCGCCGAAAATGTTTGTCGACGGCGCTGGCCAAGAAAACGAAGGCTCGGGGTACGAGATTGATTTCTTAGCTTAAACTGCCTGTTTTTTCAAAAGATTATTGATCTTCCTGTTCGCTTGATTGGGTCACCAAGAAACTTCAAAGTCAGTCGAGGTGTATTACAAGTTAAGGTCAATGACCAATGGGGATTCGTTTGCAACGAAAGGTGGACACGAGATGACTCAAAAGTAGCTTGCGGAATGCTGGGATACCCTAATGCTATATATAGGAAAATGAAAAGAATTAATTCTGGGTAAGAAAAAACATTTTACTAATAAAATACATAGCAGAAAGACGTTCCATTTGGGCGTTTATTAGCCTGTGTACATCCGTTTCTCACCCCTCAAAAAATCGGGGAGAGAACGACGTTCTCTCCCCGATTTTTTGAGGGGTGAGAAACGGATGTACACAGGCTAGGCGTTTATTCGTGCTACGTGTTACATTTGTTCTTGACAATCTAGTAATTGCGGGAAAAATTTATTTGACTCCAATGAGTCTATATACTGATTCTTATATGTGCTTTAGGGGCAAAGCTCCTCTGTTCTTAATGAATAATGTGTCGTGTTCTGGTCTTGAATCATCCCTTGTGGAATGTAATCACCAAGGCTGGGGGCCATTCAAGTGTATCGGTGGTTTTGCTGTTCATTTAGTCTGTGAACTACCGCGATCAGATTCTGAGGTGCGGTAATTATCTATACATTCTCTGTGGGTAAAATTGAACAATACGTATTATCTGGCACATACATTGCAATACTTTTACGTTGAATTACCCGATGAAATAATGCAAATCAATCATCTTCTTTTTTCAGAATCAAAAAATTCGACTTCGAGGCTCCTATCAACTATGGGAAGGTAGACTCGAGGTGAAATCCAACAATCCTCTCCATTGGGGAACTGTATGTGATGATAATTTCGACCTGAAAGATGCTAACGTTGCTTGTAGAACCCTAGGACTCGGCACAGCGTCCAGAGTATTYACCAACGCTAAGTTTGGTCAAGGAATAGGACAGGTATTCATTATGTTTATTCGAACTTGTCAATATGATTTTCTGATGGTCACAAATCGACTCTATATTACAGTATATTATTGATTGCTGTCATTATAGATCTACATGGATAATGTTGAATGTCGAGGATGGGAGAAGTCATTTCATCAATGTAGTCACAAGAAGAACAGTGATTGTACGCACTATGAAGACGTCAGCGTTCGATGTWATTCTCCCAAACTTTACAAAAACAAGGTTAGATGGAACCGATGACACAGTGAACAGAAATTTATTGATTTCGGGTTATGCTTGAAAATTATGCTATTGGGGAACTAGTTACTGAGAAGCTAAGCAAATTTTGATCCTAAAGTTCATAATTGGTATAGCTGATGTTTTTTTGTAAAAACCTCTTTCATACCATAAATTCACATGTTTACTTGAACGGCGAACGGCCATCGGGATGTGAATGGCTTAGTAATKAATAAAATGCAGTCTTTATTTCAAAGGATAATAAACTTCCTATGTTGCATGGTGTAAGAGTAAAGCCCGGGGGGGAAAGCCCTTATAAAAGTTGGTAGGTATGCTCGACGGACCTTTTAGGGTCGAAAATAAAACCCTCGCGTACCTTTTAGGGTCCTGAGCTGACTCCGTACCTTTTAGGGTCAATTTTCGAACAACGAAAAAAAAATATGAAATTTTGTACAGCTAAACTTGTGCTTTTCTCTTGTGAAAGACGTCAAAAATGCTCGTACCTCTTAGGTTTTGGAATCGATACCTGAATTAATTTATGCCTACCTTTTAGGGTTAATTTTCAATCCGTCCATCGAGCATACCTACCAACTTTTATAAGGGAGTCCTCCCCCGGGGAGTAAAGAGGCTCARGCGTGCTTGGAATACAAAGATTGAAGGATATTCTCAGTCAACTCATTGGTTGTATTTGTTTGTACGACTTGTTGCCTCCATTCTTGGTGACATGATTAATTATAGTTACTTCTCTTAATTCCACTGAAGGTTCGCTTATTTGGTGGTATGACCAAGCTTGAAGGGTATGTAGAGATCTTGGACGAGCGTGGCTGGGGAGCAGTTTGTGCAGAAGACTGGGGACTGGAGGAAGCAATTGTTACGTGTCGAGAAYTAAATCTCGGTTATGCTCGAGAAGCGACCAAAGGAAACTACTTCAGAAGATCCAAGACCAGTATACTATACTCGGACATAGAATGCAAGGTGCGTTTTAAACAATGTCAACCTAATATCGCTATCCTAAGGGTATCCAAATTTACGAAAAGCACTACTCATGTTTTGTACCCTGCGTATCACAGGTTAGAATTCACCAGTCTTTTTCATAGTTTCACTGGAAAAAATCGCGCGCTTTACATGTAAAGGTTGTAAATTTGATGTAAATACGATGTTCTGTAAAATAATTCTGTAAATTTAATGGAAATCATTTACATCAAATTTACAGAATTTTGGACACTTACATCATATTTACATCAAATTTGCAACCTTTAAAGCGCGCGATTTTTTCCAGTGTTTGATCTTGAAGACTCGGACTAAAAGCCAAAACAAACTAAAAAGAGTGAAGGCCCTCTGGAATCCAGGGTTTCCATCTTGAAGAGTAACCAAGAATATATGCATCATTTATTGAAAATGGATCAAAAAATACCATAAGTCTTTGTTGGTTGATCCACCATTATTATATCATAAAGCAGATAAAGGAAATGCTTCCAACCATCTGACACATGGCGGCTAAACGGRATGGTAGCAATATTTGATGGGTGGTTTAACATTACTCGTTGGTTCCGGTTTAACATTACTTGAAGACTTTATTGTATGATTTTTGTCTCTTTATAGATCGACGATCCTACGCTTTCTCACTGCGCACGTCAAAAATCAAGGAATATATCTTGTGNATTCCGGGCAACTCCTTAGGAGATATTCTTTCGGATTATGTAAAAAAATTGCGCAAAAATATTTGAATTGATTGAAGAAATAACTTTTAAAAAGTTGCAAGTTTTAGCGGTATCATATGCTAATTTTAGACCAAATCGGGGTAAAACCAATTTTGCTCAAAAACTCAAATTTCTCAACGTAGATCAAAAAACCGATTAGACCACGTTAGTAGGCYCRCAGAAAGGKGTCYAGAAACTAAGTTTCAAGGAATTTGAATTTTTCACTGTGGCCGGACTATGCTCGATATTTCTGGACAGTCGCTCTTAATAAGTAATAATTCAATAAGTAATAATAATTTAACAAGTATTTAATTTTTTATTCATTAAAAGCACACAAAGTTTAATAATTTTGAAATCAAAATAACTATCATAAAAATCATAATTAAACTATCATAAAAACTATCAAAATGTAAGACTGCCAGAACCAGCAATGCTTGTTTCTAATTAAAACATCAACAGATATCATCTGGTCTTTCATAGAAGAGCATAAATACGTACCAGACGTGCATTTCTTTCGGAAAGAAGAACACTTTCAATAATAACGTATATTATAAAAAAGTATAAAAAGAAAAATATATATATATTTAAAAGAAATGCCATGTTACATTGTAATTGTATAAATCAGACTAATTACTGTAATAGGCCCTTTGCAGCTGGGGGTCACGTGACCACACCTACCTTAAATCAATCAGCTATCAAAAAATAATGTCCAGAAATGGAAAGAGGGGATCAAAATAGTTAAGAAGACAAAGTATCAAGTCTCAACACTAAACACTTCAAAATTGATAGCAAATATAACATTTTTTTTTCTAGAGGCTTGCTCTCCAGTACTATTTTCGCATACGTTGCTTTAGAAAAATATTTTTACATTTGTTGCCATTAGATTAAAAACAAAATAATCCTAAATAATAATACAGATGATGCGATYGGTCATAACAGATAAGACCAAGATGGTAGTTTTAGCAGGATGGATAAAATTGGCATTGCAAATCACAAGGATATGAATAAGTCATTACTAACCTCGTGTCTTCCGCCATTTTGGCAACAAGCAGAAAGAAGACAGCGTGGGTACTGGGAATGAGTGGCCGCATAATGAGACTTGATCCCGGACACTGCATTCCACAAATCCTAAAACTCGAATCCTAAAACTCGAATCCTAAAACTCGAATCCTAAAACTCGAATCCTAACTCGAATCCTAACTCGAATCCTGACTCGGAAAATAGGTATCCTCAGAGCGGTTCTATTTTACTTTATGCGTATTGAATTTGGGATGACAAGAGTGCTTTGTAAAGTGATTCGCGCATGTTCAGTTTGCACGCCACCATTTATCTCTGAACATATTTGTACGGCAATTTCTCCAAGAATTTTAACGGATTTGAGTTTCAAATTAGTGTTGAAGTTTTTTAAGCCGTTTAAAACACTCGAGATCGTGTTTTAAACTATACATAAAAAACCGTCTAGTTTTCTATAACTCAAGTAGCTCAAGCCGAGTAAATCCGAATCTTCAATTTACTCTCCTGTCAAGTTGACTTTTCCCGTCACTTCTTTACTTCTTGATAATTTTCCCCAATATCACGTGTCATTGATAACCCTTCATATCAGCAATTGATTGTTATTGTTATTTACCAGGGACTGGTGGGGACGTGGACGAGGATTTTTCTGGCTTGATAACGTTGTTTGTCACGGTGATGAGTACAGCTTAGAGCGTTGCGCGCACAGCGACTGGGGCGTGCATCGCTGCAGCAATGATCGCTTGGCGGGCGTGATATGCNTAGCCAACTGGTTTGAATTATTTAAGATTTGAGTTTGAGTTCATTTTACGGGCCCAAAACATTTAACAGTGATGTTCTTGATATTTGTCACTTCAGGATCGCTCTATTGCTGTATGGGATATGCAATCACCTACAGATATTAACCTTAGAAGAGTACTAGTTGGTCATCGTGCTGCAGTCAATGTTGTTGACTTTGATGATAAATACATTGTGTCGGCATCAGGAGACAGAACTATCAAGGTATTTAATTGGTTCATCAGATCATTCAGATCAGTCTTGCTAACCCAAGTCAGTGCATGACATATAAGATACCGTATTTACCCATGTATAAGCCGCTCTCGTAGATAAGCTGTACCCTGAGTTTTAGGAACATTTTTGAGGAAAAAAAAAGACGGAAAATAAACTTTTCTCTTTTTGATCGCTACTTGCGAACACAGCTTTCTTTGATTTTAAAGTGCTATTCCACTGCTTGATTTCCATGATCCATATTTATTTAACGTGCGGTGTATGATGATCTTGGAGACATAATTGTTAAGGTTGATGATTGATAAACTATATTTAAAGACTTTTTCATTCAAAAGGTAAAAGCAAACTAGTAATTAACTTGAGTGATATAAATCTCATCGTGCCGCAAAACTTCTAAACATAAGGATCATGCCGAAACCGTTTCGTATTTCAAAAAAAATATTAAAGCAGATTGTATTTGTTTAATATAAGAACAATTTCTTAGGCTCATTTCTTGGGTATTCAAATATTTACCCTGGATTCTTCACTTAAGTGTGACAAAGTCGCTTAAATGAACAATGCAAATTAGCATTGCGTTATCAAAAGAACACCAAGACAAAATGATTGAAAATGCTCTCTGTTCATTTTAGCTGAATAACCATGCACTTTTCAGTTTGATTTATTGACTTGTGTTTCTCAGAGCTAGATTTTCTGAGAATTTATAGTAATACTGAGAAGTTTGGATTAAAATTTCTGTTCCCGCCGTGTAAAACCAACTTATCACATTACTGATGTCCTGTCTGCAGTAAGTAGCACCGTGAATGCTAATTTATGCAAATTAGTTTTTATTGGGCATTTTTTCAAGTCTTCTCGTAGATAAGCCGCACCCCCGATTTGGGAACGATTTTTTTGGAAAAAAAGTGCGGCTTATACATGGGTAAATACGGTATGTGTTTTCTAGTATTTACTTGTTAGTGCATTTATGTATGTTGGAATCATATTTTTTATAAGAAATGGTCGTTTCATCCACATTAGATTTCTTCATTATTTTCCAAGCTTTTGGATTTACAATCCATAATTATGGAAGAAAACGATTATACATTTATTACAAAACGTCGAGTAAACTAATTAAACATAACACATACTTACACTGCATGCTAACTACACAAAGTAGGGGCGAGATGGAATAGTGGGGGCGGGATGGTGGGGGCGAGATGGCAATGGGGCGAGATGACCGTAATTCCGTGACATTATGTAAATGTATAAACTATTTTATTCACTGATGATGGGTTGTTGCGGGATGGTGGGGGCGAGATGGCAATGGGGCGAGATGACCGTAATTCCGTGACATTATGTAAATGTATAAACTATTTTATTCACTGATGATGGGTTGTAAATCAAAAAGCCTAGAGCATAGTAAAGAAATTTAACAGCTGGGGAAGAATTGATTTTTTCCTTATTAATACAAAAATGTTGTCATAAAAAATGGAATTTTTGTACTTTAGTGCAAAAAGAATACCTAAAAATACAGTGAAAAGTGTTCAGCCTGAGGGGTCTCGTTTTGTCTTTTTAATTTTCCTTTTGGATAAAGTTTAAAAGCTCTGTTTCTACATGACAACATTTTTCTAAATAGGTGTACACGTATGTAAGACAAAATTAAGGTACATTTTATTTTCTGATTAATACATTAATACTTAATTCAAAGGTTTGGAGTACATCAACGTGCGAGTTTGTTAGAACGTTGAATGGTCATAGAAGAGGAATTGCTTGCTTACAGTACAGAGATCGTCTGGTTGTTAGTGGTTCCTCAGATAACACAATAAGGTTAGTTACTTTTATTAATTAATGTTGTGTACTGCTAATGTTTTCACTTGAATTAAACACTGSTTTGATAATCTTACTTAGACTGTGGGATATAGAATGTGGAGCRTGTTTGAGAGTACTTGATGGGCATGAAGAACTTGTTAGGTAAGGAAGCTTTGTACTATATACTAGGAGAAAAAGACAAAAAATTGTACACATTGTTTGCATTCACGATATATTGTTATGATGTACTCTACATCACACAAAAAAAGAAACTTGTAGCTGAAGTGAGAGATTTTACTGATAAAACATACTTGGTGAAATCATGTAATCTTTACAAGGGTGGATAAAGTTTTCTACTCCTTAGATATTGTATGGATTTAATCTGCTGTATAAAACAACTGGCCCCTGTTTGTATAATTCCAGCACTTTAGAAACATTACTTAGCAAGTAGTCTCACAAACATCACAAATACCATTTTACTGTCATTAGTTACATATACCATCATTGCTTTCAGATGCATCAGGTTTGATAACAAACGGATTGTTAGTGGTGCTTATGATGGGTAGGTATAGTTATAGTTTCAAAACACACCTGATTATTCTTATGTTGTTTGTTTCTGTACTTACATAGGTACAGTTAAAAGGGGAGGGGAGGGGGAGGGGGAGGGGGGGTTGGCCCCAGAGGTCCCTCCCCTCTCAGGGTTAAAGCATACATGAATGAGGCACATTCATCCTACAGTGTGAAATCCTCCCCCCTATGAAATTGTTGTTTTATTCCTCCTTTATGATATTCTTATTCCGATTTTTGTTCTAACAGAAAAATAAAGGTTTGGGACTTACAAGCAGCACTAGATCCAAGGGCACCTGCTGGGTCTCTATGTATACGTACTTTAGTGGTAAGATCCCGCTAGTAATTCAATCATATAAAATATATAATTTGCTGTGCTCTTTATCTACACAGTGAACTCGGTTAATAAGAGTTATATTATATATATGACCCTTATCATGAGATAAAAAGTAATTCAATGATAACACAGAACATGAATTTTAAGGCAGTTTTTCTTCTTCGCTTTCTGTCAATTGATATTTCATCTGATAATAATAAYAATAACGATTTATTAAAGCTTTTATTTTATCTGGATACTGATTCAAATTTGTCCTTTTCAATAGTATCAAATTGAATTTTGGCGTTTGTTTGTACTTTTGCTTTATTTGAACGTTTAAAGTAATTCAAAAATGTAGCTGGCACAATCTACCCAAGAGAATCTAGAGTGGAGAAAAATCAAAATCAATCAATCAGGTCACTCCATTTACTGCCATCCACGTCGCAATATAAACGGTCATATAATAATGTTAATTATTAAAGTATTAGAGTTAATAGATTCTAATTGATATATTTATCTTGCCCTAGTAATCTATCGTTTTGCAATTTAGATTTTATGGAATGGTATCACATTTTGATGTCTTTTTGTATTTATTGGGGCCATTACCGGTCATCTCAGTCCAATGCCATCTCGCCCACACCATCTTGYCCCCAATAAATACACTACATGAAATCCCAACCCCTCTTGATATGTTAGACCAAGATGGCAAGGGGGCGAGATGAATGTTAACCATTAGGGCACAGAAGCATGGACCTATTTATTATTATATAATGGAATTACATTTTTGTTTGATGTAGTACTGCATTGTGTGTTTAGTAATGATTTTTGCTGTTTCTCCTACAGGAACATACTGGCAGAGTATTTAGACTTCAATTTGATGACTTTCAAATTGTAAGTAGTTCCCATGATGACACTATCCTGATGTGGGATTTCCTGAACTACTCAGATCAACAAGTTTTAGGATTTACCAGCATCAAAAAAGATCAGTAAACTAAGTATGAAATAATTTGTTTATTTATTAAGAGGCTATAAGTATCTTGTAAAGACAGTCAATGTCATGTTAATAGGAAGTGATATGCCAATAATATCCAGCAGATCCAATAATAAAAATAAAAATAAACGATTAATTAATTGTAGTGAGATCTTCATTCAAATGGTTTTATGTATATAGTTTGGTAGTTAAATATTTACATTGCTTGGATTCTAAGATGTCAATTATGCCTTTTTATGTTCTTCAAAAGAAACATTATCCCTATTGTACAGTCCATTTCTAACAGATTTGTAGTTAGATTCCTTTTCTCATTTAATGTATCATAGTAATTGTAAACATTGGAAGGTGTAAAATTTACTAATTTTATTCCAAGTTTATCAAAGTAAAATACCATTTATCTGTGAAACAAGATATGCTTAATTGAAAAAATGTAGTCACATGCCAAGCTATGAGGGGAGCAAATATGGTACTGTGAATGTTATAAAAGATTGCCTCCACTGAGTAAAATGACCTCTACAAGTAAAGATATAATATAACATGACTGTTTAGGGAAATATGATTTGAATTGCCAATACCCAAGATCTCTTTCTGATTTAGCTTTGATAAGATCACCTTTTTGTGACCCAACATGTTTTCAGTTAGGTGTTTGTGCTATTGCCTTATCTTACTATTAGATAGGGTGCCCCTAGTGGTAGGGCCAAAATCCTTTGTTTTAAATCCTCCCAGGAAAAGAAAAAAAAAAAGAGTTAGCCCTACCACGTAGGGGCACCCTATCTCATGTAAACAGGGTCTTAAATACAAATTTTGTACAGAGTATTGTTAGCATGTAAGTACAGGAATTGTACAAAAAGCAACATATYTGGTGTTCTTTGTATTTTTAGCTCATACTTAATAGATATCAGCAAAATAATTTTGAGCAAAAAGGGTTTCACAGATGTATGGTGTTGCTCCAGTTGCATGTAGAAAAAGAGTGATGATTTTTGCATTTGGCTCTTTCTTGTTGTGCACTTGGTTCAGTATTAAATAAAAACTTCTTATGATGACTACTGAGAAATGCTTTTTTTAGTGTAGATATGTATATTATACAAAATACAACATAATTATGTAATAACCTCAACRATTTTAAAGGAACGGCATATTGCATCTGAGACTAACAACTGGTGAGCTTGCAATAAAWGGTGTAAATGATTGTCATAGGTTGCCTCCCTTTGATGTAGAGGTGAGCACACCTGTAAAGATTGCACAATTGCACAGAGTCAAGAAGAGTATTTGGATGATATTGCGTTAGCTGAAACTGTCAAACTTACCCTGGTTCCAGAGGTTGCTCTGTGTCTCTCTCTGTCTAAAAATATCTCAGAAGAACAGAGATATTTTTRCACAAAGAGAGACAGAKAATCCTCTGGAACCAGGGTACCTCAGACTGGAAAATAGTGCACAAACTTTGAATTCCCTTTGARTTGTCATTGTCAGCCTTGATACATTATTTCACAGGTTTGATGTTCCTTAAGAAATACAGGAAAAGTTGCAGTTTCTTGTGCAGTCTTGAAAGTTAACCAAGCCATATCATTGATGCTACAATAGTGGTTATAGGCATGCAATAAAGGAAATTTTCACACCTAAATGCTATTATTGACAGGTATCAATCATTGCAAGCTTAAAGGTTGTCTAGATCTGGTGCAAATGCACAATCATGTCAAAATCATGCAGAAAAAGACTATTGGAAGGGACACTTTCCTAGACAGGTTCTGTAATTTCTGACAGGATGTGGACCCACATTCTAAATTCCATCCACCAGCTTATATTTGTCACATTGCTCTTGTTAGTACAAAATAGTAAGAACATTTATAAGTCAATTCCTATTGTCCTGGGGTGGGGGTACTCGACCACGTTTTGGATAGGTACGTGCCACCAGCGGTCTCAATCCCTGACCCTGTTTAAGACACTAAAAAGTAAAAATCCATACCCTGTTMAAGACAAATCGGAAAAATAAGGAATAGCTATCTACGCCGCAACCATCAAAACTGCAAATATACTGACATCCATCAGAGACAATAAGAAGTTTTGATAACACGTTAATTCTGGGACAGTGAAATGGTATTTCTACTATTTTTACGGTGTTATGAAAATATTACCCTGTCCAAGACACACAAAAAAATTATATCGGTCTCTTTTATCTAGATTGTAGAGCCTGTTTAAGACAATATTTCGGGTGCAAGGCCAAAAACCATACCCTGGCCAGTGGCACGTGCCAGTATAGCAAATATATGGGAGTACCCCCCCCCCCCCCCCCGGGCCTATTGTCCAATCTGCACTTCATAGAAAGTACTTAAGTATYTTTTTGTTTCATTGATTAAGTGTAACCACTCCCACAAATAAATAGGTAAGTTATGATATACTCCATTTCAGCYATTTACTTTCCCAATGCCATCTTAGGAAAACGCGATTTTTGCAATGAGTGCCTGTGGTTGAGCTTGCAATGGATTTGTGATAGCCCGTTAGTTTGGTGGATACTGAATTGTCCTTACCACTGCACTTGATCACTTCTTCAATTTGATATACAAAGTCTCGCACCTTTAATAGAACCGTGAAATGGAGCATTGCCATAGTGACAAATTTAAAAAAATTTCTTTGGTTGTGTATCTGGTTGTGTATCTCCCGGTTCATCAATTAACCAATCACATCCAACCATGTGTGAATCGTGACCTGCGTCGAATGAAAACTTCTGTGTGAGCCTGTGTTCAAATCAGCGGTAATTCAATATGTATGTCCAAGGGATTTGATTAAACTTATGAATTTTGGAAGTTTCCCCAAAAAAATATAAATTATACGAACGTTAATATGAATCTAATTAATTACTTGAGGATGAATAATGTACTTGTTGTTTTGGCGTTTTTGCYATTATCTTCGACTTCAGGTGAGTTATGCTTATTTAAGCTACTGACTTCTACGCAAAGGTGATGCAATTAGCAAGTTACAGTAGTTATTCAACAATTGTAGCGTAATCTACAYAATCTTTTTATCGCAGTTTACTGTGACGAACAAAATCCGGGTTCTATAGTTGCTGTAAATGTAGACGATAAAGACAGTCAAGATGACGAAGCTGCGGTTCATTCATTTACCGATGAGGAAGATCTTGAAGTATTTCAGCCAACTTCGGAGTGGCAGGAGCTAAAGCCAGGACAAGCTATCCCACCAGGTCTACATGTCCAAGTGGACATACAAACAGGCAAGAAACAAGCAAAACTAATGGATGGCGATAATGGAGAGCGTTTTCGTAATCATGAAAAGACCAAATATTTCAGAAGAGAGAATSAAGCTAAGCRGGCTAAGCAAAAGTTTGTTCAAATCGATAAAAACATTTTCTCCAAACAAAAGTTGAAAGATGCTTTGAAGGATTTTAAGGACAAATTCCAYGATGATAAGCCAGAAATACCAGAGGATGCAAATGCAATTAGTGAGTAACTTAATTTTTCTTTTCTGCATTCATTCTTCTATTCATTTTGTTTTATTTGATGTGCTTGATCTACCACACTCTTTTTGATTGGCTTGCGTTTATCATTGAAGTGAGCAAAGACTGAGCTACCAAAGGCTCTTCTGCATCTTTCCCTAATCATAATGTTTGAGATATAGTGTGTCCTCTGATTCGCTGATGCTATCAGTTCAGAGACATGGCTCCCAGTTCCTTGTTGTTTTATAGACTAATACCTTACTTTCTTTGTTAACAGAGGACAAGTTTCGATCAATAAAAGAGATACGACAAGATTTGGAAGATGCAAATCTGTTTCCTAAAAAGGACATTGAAYTTATCCAAGAATATGTTGCAGTTCTTAACAAAAGTACCTCAACATTGGATGAAAAGGAGCATGCATTAAATGAGTTAGAATTCTTTCTTCATCAGACTGACAATGCTGTTGATTTCAAAACAATTGGAGGTCTTGAGCTTGTTGTGAAATTACTAAATAGCTCTGAGGAAGGGCTAGTTATTAAAGCAGCACATGTGCTTGGATCTGCAGCTCAAAGGTATAATAATTGAATAAAAGAGTAAAGCCAGCAAAACCAAGATACAAAATGCTCTCTGTAAAACATCTTTCAAAAGTATGCTTGATATGTTTGATAATTTTTTTTGGGCATAATTTTTATTTGGAGGTCAGTTGTCTAAGTATAACTCATTCGCTAGTTTGCATTGCTGTTAGTACTGTTCAGTTAGGTATTAAAATAGATATATTTTCTTTTTTCCATAGCAACCTTCCTGTTCAGAAAGCTGCTCAAAACTATGGTGCCATTCCTTTACTCATTCGTCTCCTTCCACAAAAACATACAATAAACRTTCGACGTAAAGCACTGTTTGCTCTATCATCTATTATCCGTCTATATTCAAATGCTCAACAAGAGTTTCTCAAGCTGAATGGACTTGAATTATTTCAAAAACTGCTAAATGAACATGGTGGTGATGTGTTGAAAGTCAAAGTTATAACATTGACAACTGATATTCTTACAGAACAGTTTGATTATGTAAGGTACAAAGTACAGAAACAAGATTCCAAGAACATTGAAGCAGTTTTGAAACAGTAAGTTTTATAWATGAAAAAGATGTATGTTCTTAGTGATTTCCTGTAAACACTAAAGTTAAAACCTAACATGTAAGAACCTAGGCAGTCAGAGCAGGTTCTTATATAAATGTTGCTTAACTTGAAATAAGGCTCTTTAGGAACTTGCTCCGTTTCACTTGCTCAAATAATTCAATCTGATTGTAGAAACAATTTTACATACAAAGTTTTAAATAAAATAGCACTCAAAGTCACTTTCTGTTTTATGTTGGCTATTGGTTAAAATATTATCTTTGTAGGATCCCACTCCTGAAAGCCATGGTTAAACAAGGATGGTGTAAAATGCTGCAAAACCTTCTCAGCACTACYGAGAATGACACCAGAGAAAAGGTTCTTCAAGCTCTGAATGTAATGATTGTTGGATGCAAAGAAGAGTTTCAAATTTCCAAAATTGATAAAAGTCTGAACATACTTCATACTGAACTACAGAAAAGTATTAAAGATGCTGACAGTGAAGAAGGAGAGTATTTTGTACATTTATCACAGCTGGTAGCAGACATAAGGAGTAAATTGAATTAAATAGACTTTTAAATGTGAGATTTAAAATATATCAATTGCTTTGTTGAGAAGCCACTTATTACTGCATAGACGCTCTAACCAGAACTGGTTAGAGTGTCTTGCTGTAATTTAACCTCAACAATCATTGGAAAAATAATGGCCTTTGAAAGGTATATTTAATGTACAACTGAATGCCAATTTACATGATGCATTTTTACATGAGACCTGGTGAGACATTCAAGTAGTTCTAGCTGTATAGTCATTTATACAGCATGATTTTATCATGTGTGACAAGTTTCATCATATAAATGAGCCTTTCTAAACAATATTATTTTTATAATCATGACAGAGACAAATGACAACTTATGCAACATGATTGTTATTTCAAGGGCATTAAACCTATGAAGTAGATAGTCTGCAAACCATTGTTTCTTTTGTTCGAGCACAACTAGATACTTTTGGTTGGTTTAAATGCCCAGCTCCTATTTAAATTGTTATTAGACCACCAATAGCATGGTTTTCACTACCTTGTTCAATTATAAATTTTCATTATTTATTACTTTACAGCTCTTYATTGTGCACATTTTTCATTGTCTGACATAATATGTAAAATTAGACACTTGATCCTAATCATTAAAACATGTTGCTGTGTAAGTTACCATATCAAAAAAGAATATTCAATTATGGGAATTAATATAATATAATGATGAAACATAAAACCTGTTTTTTTGTAAGGAAGTGTTCCAGCTAATTTCTCATAAAGCACGTTGACTGAATAACTAATTTGTGCTATTGACAGGATGCGTGTTTTGATATTGTATCAGGTTTATAAATTCACATCTTTACCAGCTCCTATGGATAAAGTTATTTTCACTGATTTCATTGGCAGAACCAGCTTCCATATTTTTTTTTTAGATTTTGTCTCCTTATGATCTGAGTAGAGTCTGTTATACAACTGTCATAATATATGGATGTCCATATATATGGCTCATTTATGGCTCTTGTGTACACATAGCAGGGTCTCGTGCCCCTATTTTTATTTTCAATCTTATGTAACAACATGTTATTTATGAATGCAGTTGCATAACTCTCACAAAAATAGCGAATTGAACTCATGGCTTAATAGTTGGGTTTATGGAATTTGAAAATATGGGGTTAGGCAATGCATAGCAATGGTTTTGAAATCTAGCTTGTCCTTAAAAAATTATTGTTAGTTGAASTTTATGTCTTTGAATTTTTTTATGTTCTTCACATAATAGGGACATGGGAGCCTTGTATGTGTACATCAGCCCTATCTGGAAGTTGTCTATGACAGATTATTCTACCSCATACATATTCAGTCCCAAAGGCTGCATCCTGATCCTGGGGCATTTCTCAATGGGATGAATTTCTATCATCTGATAATTTTTTTTTAATATTAATGATTTAAGCATAAAATGTTCATTTTTGCCAGATTTTAGCAGTCAAGTGAAGTACAAATAGATTTTTTTTAACTGCCTGGGTTCCAGCTTTTCAAAACAAAATTCACAAAAATGATAGTTATAGTCCTGGACCATCTGGACATCAGTGCTACTACTGGTTTTCTTTTGCTTAATTGAGTCAATTTTTAATTAAAAAATCTTGACAACAAAAATCAGCTGATGTCATTTGGGTTCCCTGTGTATCCATAAAATTCCTTTTTATACTGAAGCTTCTTACCAGTATTAAGCTTATGTGTCGAATCCAGTAAACGAAAAAGTCGTAAAGTATCTGCGTTGTAACAACATGGGTGTCAGCAAAAAAATATTGTAATTTAGAGAAGTGCGTGAGTAGCCTGGGGATGCAACTTAGATGCGCATGTGTAGATAAACTGCAGTGGATTTGTTGTTCAAACTGTGAAAAGTACTACTAGTAGGCTGGAGCATTCCAGTTGACTTGAGTACAGGGCTTCATGAGTCTATTCTAAAACGTCCTCAACACTGTATGTCCTTTAAGAGGATCCAAGAAAGCCTCATGTTGAAGTCACGAGCGTATATTTTCGTGGTCGTCGAAGAAAAGCTCGGTGTGTAAAATGAACTACCCGATCAGAAAAGAGCTTGTTGGAAAGCGTTTTATGTGTGTTCGCGACAGAACTACACAAAATAGTAGACCAAACTCAAGATCAAATAGATTTTCAAATCCACTGGACTACACATGGAAATGTGGAATCATAAGGGCTTGTTCAAAAGAGGATAGCAATGACATTGAACAAAAGGTACGATAAATTATAGTGTAATTAGTTGAGATGATATTATTGTCGTTCATTATACTAGCTGGTCCTCACTCAATTTTACAAGAACTAGGCGTTTATTCTTTCTCTCATAACACCCTCTCTTCCGGTGTTTTTGCTGCACTATTTTTGAAACCATTTGTCTTTAAACTTGCAACAAAAGCTGCGACTCTTCTCTAAACTGCTTCTGACAATGGCGATTCGTGCGAAGTGTCATGTCAAGACGGCTGTTGTCTTGTTGCTCACCAATTTGTTTGTTCACCTATGTAACTGGTTGGACGTAAACTTATACTACTGAGTATTATTGTAGCTACAACGAATTATTGTCACCCATTCTKAACTTTTTTAGTTAATTGTCTGAGATTCTTGAAAACAAACCAAACCAAAAGTCTTAGGCTTACATGTGAAAAGGGTCTTTGATCGATTGTAATAAAAGTTGCAACTTTCTTTTGAAAAATCAACATGAAAAGAAATCATGCATTTCAATAAGATGAAATTGTAGTAGACGATCTATTTTCCAATTTGTGTTTTTTTGCTTATCAAGTAAGTTAATTATTCTATTACATTGTAGTTTACGCGCATCAAGTATCTTCACCAAGTATAGTACTTCCATTTTTTATCTCGTTTTTTGTCAACTTTTTCTGATTTCTACATTTGCAGCTTACTTCCCCATTTATTTCAAAACATGTAATACATGTAACTTTAATAATATTCTTCAATTTTCAATGTTACGAGCACTATTTTTATTGTACAGGAACAAGCTTCCTTTCATAGTGCATCAAGCAAAAAAACAATTCACATTTATTGAAAATTTCGCAAATGTTATATTGATTGAAATACATTATAAACTGTACCTGTAATATTTTCATTGCCCTGGTGATACCCCTTTGATGCAAGGAAAGGAAATACTAAAAATTGAGGTCTTGCTTGCATCAATATACTATGCACACATTGCTATATTTCTGCACTATTTTAAACTGCATTAGGATCAGTGCATTTATTTAGTATCTCAAGACATTTGAATCTGTTTTGGTGTGTGACAATGAGCACAGTACTATTAATCCAACAGCTGTAATGTCAGATCAACATTAGGAAGGCAGCCTTAGACTATGTAAATTACAGTAAATTATATTCCTTATTTGACAAGAAATAAGTGGTTTGAAATTTGAATATTGTGAAGACCATTCTCTAACTTTATATTTCAGGTGAATCTTCTATTATTTTAGAAAATTCAGAATTTAATACAAAAGTAATGGCTGCACACAGCATAACTCAATTTAGGAAATTTTATAAATGGCATTATTTAAACTAAACTATGTCTTTTCTACTTTGGTTTTTAAAAGTAATTACCTGGTAGGAGCAATTCTTTTGACAATTTCCATAAAAGAATAAGAATCAGAGTAAAGATGGAAAGTGCTTTAGGATTTACAGTTTGTAATCAATTTATTAAAATGATTAGCTATATCTATTTGTCCTGTTTTTATTCATGGACATGCAATTTACATGTGTATGGTTCATTAACGAATTTATTGAATTAAATTGATGAATCAACATCGTTATTTTAACATTCAATATACATGCTGCCATTGGGTGTCTGCATTTACATCTACATGTCTGATTCCAGTTCTTAATTTATTTTTTACAAATTATTGTTACTATAGCATAAGTCTTTTCTTTCTAAACATAAAAACCATTGGTGAGTAGGACCAGAGTTGTTTCAATCTTAGATTTGAAACTTTTTAACGTAAATTTGTCATGTCCTCAGCAAAGATCATTTGTGACATTCAGTAGGATCATTGTGACATTCAGTAGGATCATTGTGACATTCAGTAGGATTCATTGTGACATACAGTAGGATCATTTATGGGAGGTAATATTAATGTATTCATGAACTTTTGTGTCAGGTTTTAGTTGAGTATGATAACCAGGATTGGTCATCTAGGGAATGGATAAGTATTTACAAGGAAACTTGGAAAATCTTCCTTGTGGAAGAGAGAATGGTATGGGCACAGCGCGAAGATCCCAACAATCCAAAAAGACCAATTTTATGGCCAGCCTTGGTAAGATTGACATTGTTTGATCTAGAGTGATTATCACTTCAACTGATAGATTGCTTGAGAAAAAATGTTAAAATACTTAGGAAAAAAATTAATATAAATTATACTGTAAATTTTGAAATTGTTACCCGTATAGCAAAATGACATGAAACTTGTAACTCATAACTCTGCTKCTTGATCCCAGTGAAGGGCTGGTAGTGGAAACTGCATAAATGACATTTTAGGCTTATTTTGATAATTTCACCAAGTTGGAAGAAAAGTGTCTTTGATCACATATTTTAAGGGTGTACTGACGTATCCGTTTCTAGGCGACCTGGTTGCTATGCTAGCCAATGCTAGCCAATTGGAG